TTTTCAAAAACAAAAGACAAAAAAAACCACATTACAGAGCTGAACCCTACTCCAATCATATTACCATCTCTTCCCCTTCCTGCATCCCCAGAAGTAACCACAATTTTGAACTTAGTACGCAATATTCCTGTGCTTGGTCTTCTACTTTTGCTGTGTATATATGTGTCCAAAAAACAGTCTACACTAAAGTTTCGTGAATTAAAACTTTATGTAAATTTTATGTAAATACTAACATACTATATGAAACCTTTTTCTACTTTTTCTACTCAACATGTTTTTAGATTCTGGTGTCCACATATGTGGATGGAGTTACATGCTAATAATACATGTGATTTGTTCATGTATTTTTTGAATCCTGAGTAGTAGTATTCCACTGATAAAGAATAAACCAGTTCATTTATCTTTCCCTTAGGTATTTCTATTTTGCTCTTCCTCGAATCACTATTCTATTGAATATCTCGGTGTGTGCTTTCCTGTGTTATTGTACGAATTTATTCTCTCAGGAGTTCTTGTTTTTTCTCACCCTTGACAACACTTGGTGTTAACAGATGTCCGACAGTTAGCCACCTTGATGAGCATTATCAGGTGTCTCGCTGCGGGTTCAGTCTGCATTTTCCCTGATGCCACTGAAGATGAGAATATTTTCATATGTTTATTGGCTTTGGGCGTCTTCTGGGAACCGTCCTTTCATACCCTTTGCCCATTTAAGTAGCTCCACACCCAGTGTGGAGCCCAACGGGAGGCTTGAACTCACAACCCTGAGACCAAGACCTGAGCTGAGATCAAGAGTTGGACGCTTAACCAAGTGAGCCATGCAGGCTCCCCTCTGTGCCCATTTTTCTAATGGGCTGTTTATTGTTTTCTTATTAATTTGTAGCATGATAAATATTTTTGTATATTTTGGGCTCTAATCACATTTGTAGTTATGTGTATTTACGAATATCTTCTCTCAATCTGTGTTTTTGTTCTTAATTCCAGTCGTTTCTTTATGGTTCATGCATTACAGAAAGTCTTGATATAATAAACAAAGTTAAGCACATAGGTCCTGGAGTCAGGATGCCTCCGTTCAGATCCCGACTTGATCTCTTACTAGCCATGAGGCATTTTATAAATTTACTTACTGTAAATCTATAAATTTATAAATACTTAACTTACTGTCTCTGTGCTTCAATTTCTTCATCTATAAAAAGGGTATAACACTAGAGCTTACAGTTGTGAGGACTAGATGATTTAATACATGTAAAGCACTAAGAACAGTACTGGCCATACAGTAAGTGCTCAACAAGTACATTACTGTTACCATTATTCATAATTATCTGTTTTTCCTGATCGTGTACACACATTTATATGACTTTTAGCATTGATTTGTCAGGTTCCATGAAGAGCCCAACTGGGATGTTAAGTCACATTAACACTTCACAAATTATACCTTACAGTTGCAAAGGGGAAATGTACCTAGAGAGAGAAAGTGATCGCCACTTAATCAAGTGCAATCAAGTAATCAAGTGCAGCATCACAAAAGTGAGACAACCTAACACATAATATAATGCAATAAGAAGGGGATCACATCACCTGTAAAGTATTCTTACAAAATTACCCTGAATTCAATCAAGCACTCAGACCTAACTTCCAATTTGCAGAACATACAGGTGATAAGGACAAGTTAGACTACATAAGAAACAAACCCAGAGTACATAGGACATTCGACGAGACAATGACTTCTCTTAAAAAGTCACTGTCATGGAGGAAAAAAGTGACAGGCTGTTACAGATTAGCAGTGACTTAAAGAGAGATGACAGTCAGAAATGTACCTTGTATCAGACTCCAGTTATAAAAAAAAAAAACCTATAATTGAGGCATACTTGAGAAATTAGATATTAGATCATATTGTAGAATTATTGTATAGTTTTCTTAGGTATAATAATGGTAGTGTGGTTATGTCAGAGAGTGTCCTTATTTGTAGGAGATTCATACTAAAGTATTTGATGTCTGTAACTTACTTCCAAATGTCTGTATCTTCATTTCAAATGGTATAGCAGAAACAAAAAACAGAGACGATAAACACAAATATCAGCAATTTTGAATGTAAGTGGTGTGTATATGGTGATCATTTCAGTATTCTTCCAAGTTTTCTGTATTTTACCTTTTTGATAATAAAAGGTTGTAAAGCATAAATGGCATTAACTTTATGGACTGATTTGCAGGAAAGTGTCATCTACACAGTATCTACAAACTAAATAGTTTTCTGTTTACTTAGGTCTTCTTTTATATTCATTAATAAAGTTTTATAATTTTCTTTATAAAGCCCATTCACAGATTTGTTAGATTTATTCAAGATACCTTAGAATTGTGTTGCTTTTGCAGATGATATCTTTTCTTAATTGCCTCTTGCATGTTGATTGGGAGAACCACACGGATATTTTGATGATTTGTTTCAATGGCTGTGCTCCTTTTTGAACAGTACTACCCAAAACAATTCAAATAAGCTCAAACCCAAACCTCTGTATAGCTCCCTCACAAACTTATTTTTAGTAAGCTTCTGCTTCCACAGCATTGCTCACATCCAGCCCCTCATTGCCATTCTCATCCCTATCACTCGCTTCTAGAACCTCATGGATCTCCTGACCTCCTCAGCATCTCCCTATCTTGAGCAAACTCACCCATATTACACAGTCAGTGTAAACTCCTACAAGAATTCTGATTATACTCAAATTTCTTCAAGAGCTCAGTGAACTAGATAGAGCAAATGTGATAGGCAGACTAATGCCCCCCCCCACACCCACGCTGTCTGCTCCTAATGTCTGAGCCTGTGAATGTATTACGTTATATGGCAAAGGGGAATTAAGGTTGCTCATCAGCTGATGGTTAAATAAGGAGGTCTTCCTGGAAAATCCAGGTAAACCCAAAGTAATCGCAAGGCTCCTTCCAAGTGGAAGGAGGAGGGAGAAGAGCAGAGTCCGAGGGAGGCGTGACTACAAAACAGTGTTCAGAGACATGCAATACTGCCGACTGCACAAGTGGAGAAAGAGGCCATGGGCCAACGAACGCGGGAGGCTTCCAGAAGCTGGACAGGGCAGGGAAGCACACTCACCACAGAGCCTCAGCCCTGCTGAGATCTCCCTTTTAGCCCAATGAGACCTGCTGGACTTCTAACCTACAGTAAGCCAATACTACCACAAGATAATTAATCTGTTTTGTTTAAATAAAACCACCAGCAGAAATAGAAAAATAATACAGTAATGTATTCCAAAGGTGCTTAGATTCAGGTAAGAAGTCCCATTTTTGCCAATGATATATATTCTTTAAAAAGAGTTTACAAGAAACTGCACTATTGAAGGCAGTAAGGAAGGGAGGTTTAATATGATGGCACAGATGGAAGGGAATTGGCTCTTTACTTACCATCTGACTATAAATCTTTCTATAATTTCTAATTCTACTCATCAGAACCCAGAAGGGACACATGGTACCCTGAATTTCTTAACTGAAGTTCTAATTTTCAAAATTTTGACCATTTGTTTGCCCCAAAATAAATATTCACCAGATACTAGGTGATCCTGTTTTATTAGTAAAAACAAGAATTTAGTAGCATAAAGAAGATTATTGCTTTTGAACCTCAAAGCAAAATACAGTATATTATTCACTAGGGTTGCTACTAGCATTTTGGGCAAGTCAGTTCTTTACTGTGCAAGACTATTCCACAAAGTACCAGACATTAAGCATCCTTGGCTTCTGAACACTAAATGCCAGTTGACCTCCCTCCACGGCCACCTCATGTCTCTAGGCCAACAAAGGACACCCCACAGACATTCCTAACTGCCCTCTCCCCTGGTCAGGAACTACCCATGTGGTTTTCATTAACAATGAATCTAATCTACTTATGGCAACTTGCCTGGCCTGTTCCAGTAAAGCTCATTAATGGTCTTACTATTCCAGCAGAATCAGGCGTATTTAAGACAGTACAGTTTATAAAGAAATATAATGAGGTGACTGTAAGAAGAACAAACAATTGGGGCACTTGGGTGGCTCTGTCAGTTAAGTGTCCGACTCTTGATTTCATCTCAGGTCATGATCTCACGGTTGTGGGATCAAGCCCCATGCCCTGCTCCACACTAAGCATGGAACCTGCTTAGGATTCTCTCCCTCTGCCCCTCCCCCACTTACGCATGTGTGCGCTCTTTGTCCCTCTCTCAAAACATAAAAGAAATGCAAAATTTTTAAAAAGAATAGACAATGGAAATAGACTGGAAAATAAAATTAGCTGTTGCCCAACATCTCTGACAAATCAGAAGATATAAATCTGCCATTCAAATGCCGCTTCCAAAGACAACACTAACACCAAAAAATAATCAGAGCCCTAAAGTATCTTAAGAGCCCCAGACAGCTCCTGTGATTTTCTGGAACTGTGACCATGGTTGGATCTATGGTACACCAACGTCTACAAAGGACCCCACACTTTCTTTGTCACCATGTCGATGATCACAAAACTATACAGAGTCAAGTATTTCTTGCTACCTCAAACTGTAAATACGTATTTATTTTTATAAATAAAATCAGTGCTTTGTGTCTACAATTATGGTCATTATCTTGCTGAGAAACAAATTAATCTTCAACCAGCTGAGCGGTCTGCCCACGTGCCATGATTCTACAGTGCAAGATCAACTTGAGAAGCTAAGAATATAGAAAGCGCATGCTCTACCAATCACTCAGGATATGTTCTTAGTAAAAAACCAAAATAGTTCCTAACCCAACAGAAATGAAACAAGAAATGGTAACACATATAGTTTCCTCTGTTGGCTTATTTAGAGCTGACAATGCTCAGCCAAATAGCATCTCAACTTAGATTCCTCTGCTCCCTCCAAAAGATTTCCTCCAAACATCTTTCCATAGAAGGTGCCAAGTACAACTTGCTGAAAAGAAAGGAATAAAAAAACAGTATTTACCATTAGCACAAGAGAGGAAAAGAGGAGTGGGTGGAAAGCATGCCAATGAGAGGGACTTACTGGACAAAAGTAGGTGTTCTCCACAATGTGATTGGCCACCATGCTGTTCTCAGCAGACAGAGACATGATGAAAAGCAAAGCATCACGTGCCTGCTGACCCACTGTCCCCTCTCGGTGAATGAAGGGAATCAGAAGGGAGAAGATGAGGAAGTTGGCTGCCCCTTGGTCCTCACTAGTGTGGAAGAAGAGTTCCAGAATAGATGGATCTTTGGCAAGGATGGAACAAAGCTGATTGAGCAGGACAACCAGCTTCCCCTCCACGGCAGGGGTGGTTGTTCCCGAACAAGAGCTCAGCAACATCATCAGGGGCTTCAGGATGGGCTTGTGGTGCAGTAGAGGCTGGTGGGACTGAGTGACCAACATCTCATACATTTTTAGCTGCTCGATCTTAGTCTCGTCAGTAAATTCCCTCCGCAAGCTCCAAAGGAAAAGTTTCTCCATGATGTTCTCGGAGACCACAAATTCCAGAATCGGCCCCATCGCAGCATCCTTGGCTTGCTCTTCAATTAGCAAGAAGAGCATGTGTTCTACATAATTCTGCACAGCACTGGCCTCATCTGAAGGGATGGATCCATATTTTGCCTGGGTATTCTTCAAGGGGTCGTGCTTCTCTAAGATCTTCACAACCTGTAACCGATTCAAATATTTGTCATCCATCTCGTGTTTACCATAATTACAATACACACTACCCCTGATTGCGCCTTATCTTCACGGAAAATGCAGGAGCCATGGCCCACAACAAAATAAATATGAACACTGTGTTTGTCTCTTTCTCACACAGGAATAAAATGAAGTGGTTAAACTATAGAAAGCAGACATGTGAAGATGTTCATTTATAATCGTTATAAATTTGGGCAACCTAAACATCAGAGAAAGTAGTATCGTTTAAAAAATTATGCTACTTGCGTTCATGAGCCTATTATGAAAGCTACTAAGCAAAATGAAAAATTGTAAGTAATATAGTAGATGAAAAATAAGTGATTTATATGTAGTTAGATACATCATTGTCAACTATATCAAAAACATGTCTGTGAAAAAAGATCAAAAAATATATATATAGAAAAACAATAATCACTTTTGTGTTCAAAGTGATGACAAGTTTTCACTTTTATTCTGAGCTGTCAAGAATATTGCTTTTTAATTTTAAAATACATTAAAGAGTAAGACTACCCATGTCCTTCTACAACTAGATTTGGAGGTTTCAACAGGAAAATAGGGCTCCTCACACACCCTCAACTAACATGCCTCCCTCCTCTACTTAGATGGGCACATTCTCCCACCAAGCATGCAAGGTTAGGAAGGACAAAAGGAAGCCGATAAACAAGGGACACATACCTAGCACAATCACCCCTAGCATATGGCATATGCTAAAAAAAAATGAAGGCCTGAACTCTGCATTTTTTAAAACCAGAAAAAGTTCTGCGATGCTCGATTACTAAATAAATCCCTAATGTAGGAAGTTTCTGTTTTAAGTGATAAAAAGTTTTGGAAATAGTGGTGACAGCTGCACAACACTGAACTACACATTTTATAAAGGGTAAGATGAGAGGCAGCTGCATGGGTCAGTCAGTCAAATGTTCAACTTTGGCTCAGGTTATGATCTTGTGGTTCACAAGTTTGAGCCCCATCTCAGGCTCTGTGCTGAGAGCTCATGGTTCTCTGTCTCCCCCCCTCTCTCTCTGACCCTCTCCCACTTGTGCTCTCTTTCTGTCTCTCAAAAATAAATTTAAAAAAATAATTTAAAAAAAGAAAGTTAAAAAGGTTATGATGGCAATCTTTGTTATATAGGTTTTACCACCACAAAGAAAAAAATCTATTGACGGTAAAATATAAATAAACCCCCAATTAGGCCATGCAACGGTGCTAGTGTTTCTCACCCTTACCACTGCTGGCTGCTGAATGCTTCCTACCTCTCTATCCATCAGTACTTACTTCTACCTTAGGACCTAGAAATTAAAAGAACTTTGTATCTCAACTTCCATGTAACTTTAGGACTTGGAATTTCTATAATATCCATTCAATTTACTTCCTTTAAAATGCATACACATGATAATTTTTAGACAACTCAACACCCTATCGATGAATTTATCTTTGTTCCTTTTTGCTTTTCTGAACTGCATGTTATAGGGATCATGTGTGTCTTTTGCAGTACCCTCCTGGCCCAGTTCTATAACGTACTGTTACACACTCTATATTTAGGTTATAGAATTTTTGCAAGTCACTGGGGAAGCTGGCAAAGGTACAATGCTATGTCAGCATGCATGAGAAATGAGAAAAATGTATTTCTCTAGGAAAGGTCTAAGTGTTTCCTCTGTCAGAAACAAGGCAGATGAGCCTTTATAGACCAGGTAAGTGGATCCTCAAAGAATGAACAGATTTCCACAGAATCTGTAATCTCTATCAACTTTCATTGTAAAATTAATAACACTGTCACAAAGGGGAAAAAAATCACTGCAACACCCCTGAGTTGACATTTTCGGTGAGAACGGCCTTCAGTTCACAGCTACCCGGGTGACACTTGGCTCAATGACTCAGCCCCAACGCACCCACTGGACATCTCCTTTCCTTCGCTGCCTGCCAGACTCCAGAATTCCCCCCAGTCTCCCCCCCCCAGCCTCCAACGGGTCCTCCAGAATTCCTCAGAGGCCTGACTACCTCACTGGCAGAAATGCTGGGACCCGGCTGTCCCTTCCCTCCGCTCTGGCCTTGACAACATCTCACAGTGTGGGACCACAGTACCGCACTTGTCCAAAAGGGGCCTCCACCTCAACACGTATGTTCTCCAGCCCCGAAAGCTTGAACTTCAAGGTTCTGCATTCTGAAGGATAAATCAGCGACATGCTTTCTCCCAGTTCCATAATTTCAAAGTCCACATATTGAGTTTACTTATGAGAGCTATCTATACAGGTAGGCCTGAGGGTAGAAATGTAATTACACTTCTCATGTGTGCTCAGACTGTCTAAACTGTCTAAAATTGAACCTATGCTTTATACACTGTTAGTGGTGGGGCAAATTAGCTCCATCTTTCTACAACAATTTGGCAATCTGTATCAGAAGCTACAAAATTATCCCTGCCTTTGACTTGTTAATCTCACTTTGGGGAAAATGCCCCAAGAAAACAATCCAAAAATAATTTGTTAAGAAATGTTCACGCCAATGATATTTTCAATAATGAAAAATAAAAATATTATTGACCCAGTCAACAATAAGAGAATTATAATTGAAACGTTACATCACCATACAATAGTTATTAAAAATAAACACTAAATGAATCATATCATTGCATGCAAATGTATATACGAGATAACTTAAGTTAAAAACGAAATATATTGACAAATAGACCCATGATCATAAGTGAGTCTGAAAAGATACAAACGGGATTTTAAGGTTAATTACTTCTCCCCTATAAATTGATCTAATTTCATAATATAAATAAAAATAAAAGTAGACAAAGTAATTTTGCACTAATGTCTTTTTTAAAAAACCAAAACACTGGAGCACCCATGTGGCTCAGTCAGTTAAGCATCTGACTTTGGCCAAGGTCATGGTCTCAGTTTGTGGGTTTGAGCCCCACATCAGGCTCTCTGTTGCTAGCACAGAGCCTGCTTCAGATCCTCTGTCCCGCTCTCCCTCTGCCCCAACCCTGCTCGTTCATTCTCAAAAATTAAACTTTAAAAAAAGAAAAATCAAAACACTGAGTTAAAAGCAATTAATAATTGAAAAATCTCCTAATGCTCAGAAATTCCTAAGCACTGTAAACTTATACATGTGTATATGTATTTATACTACAGGCATGCATGTAAGTATATGTTACATATCTAAACATACACAAATAATATACAGCAGAACTATTTACATGGTCACAAAGTACATTTTTCTCATAATCATCACTTATTTATTCCATCGTATTCCTTTGCAAACAGACCTACTTTTTTTTGCTATGAAAAACCTTAGAAAAGAGAACTCAGTTTTTATACAGAATGCAAACTACTTAGCCACTTTTAAACTGAAGCATCTTTACCCTCTTTAGAGTATAAGCTCCTCTACATTGGTTAATGGGCAGAGGAACACGAGAACAGAGCTGTGATAACCCATGGAGATAGAAGGCTTGTTGATCATCTGTAATGGAGTAGACATATTAAGAGTTCTTACTCATTCCCGGCCCTGGCCGGGTGGTTTTACTGCCTGGAAGAGGGTGTGTTACACCGAGGCCTGTGAGTCATGGAATATACAATGCTCAGCAAAGCACTCATTATGCCTGTGTCGACACATGTCCTTAACCTCCCTCCTTAGGTGTCAGGACCCTCCCAGGCCACCTCCCTTTCCCTTCCCAGCAGACACACCCATGAACTGCTTTTACAAGTGGTCTCCAGGGGCCCATACCCAGGGCCTCGTTCCTAACCTGACAGGGAATGTCATACGAAGCTTCTTGGCTAGAGCACACGTGTGTTGAAATGCCAAAGAACTGATGTCCCAAGTGCACTGCCCAGATAGTGTCACAGTTCTCTCAGTTTCTGTAGATGGATTTCGCACGTGACCTGGACTTTTCCTTATTTTTCCTTTAGTGCCATCTTCTCACATCACTTCCACCAAACTCTAGTATTCCTGTGTCCTGACTTCCGCCTGCTGCCTACTTTCATCCATTTAACTGCTCTGACCTTCCAGTCCTATGGATCCTTGGTCCCTTGCTGCTCCCAGTGGCTTCCCCAGGCCTAGCACATTCCCCTGAGTATCCTCTATCTTAATGATCTCAACTTTGTATGAGCTGGCTTCTCAAATGTATACTCTCAGTCTCAGAGATTCAGAAAAAAACACCATTAGGGGAGCTGGAGGTACTCAAAGATGGGAAGAGAATGAAAGCAAGTAAAATATGCTGTGCAAATATTTCCTTTACTAAACAAGTTCACTTCTTTAGACCAAAAATGCCATTTAATAAGGTAATCAACCCGTGACACATCCCCGGCTCATTAAGTAAGCCAGCTAACATTGGAAATAGCATTGTCATTGTTTTGCTGATCATAGCTAGGCATTTTTGGTCTACAAACTTTAAAAAATATAAGCTTGTACATATATGTGTGAATCGTAACCCAGATCACAAATAGATGCACATGTAAATTATCACAATTCTAAAAAGAAACAAATATACAAAAAAATCAACAGTATGAACAATTGTACACAAATTATCATCTGACCAATACTCTTAAATATCAATCTAACTTCAAAGTCATTTGCTCTATAAAGATTGGTGTTAAAGGAGATGAACAAATAGCACATTTCTTTTATTAAGGATATCAGCTACTCCTAATGATGGTCCCCATCAGTCAGTGATAATAGGCCTGGATTAAAAATATTCACAAATTCTAAATTAGGCATCTCAAATGTTTTCATAATGAAAGAGCCACATAATCACTCCTCCAGCTAACAAATGATTATTCTTCATGGTAAACACAAGTGTTTATCTGCCAGATTAGCTTTGACTACATCTTAATATTGTTTTATGTCTTATATATATGCATACATTAAGAGACAATTACTTATGCTACTTTGGTTAGAGCCTAGTTATTTCAAGAAAGTCACATGAGTATAACCCATACTTCCAAATCCTTTGGAATGCTAATTGAAAGTGG